TCCAGCGGCGGCCAATGGGAGGCCGCCTGGTGCGCGCGGGTTGACGGGCGGGGGGGGGGGGGGGGGGAGCGAGAGAGAAAAACCCGGGGGGACGGGGAAGGGGGGTGCTTCATTTGCATGTGAATGACCCGACGTTGGAGGCAGCCAATGGCCTGCCGAGGGCTAATTGGGCATGCGTGACGGGGCTGGCGGTGCGCGCGCCCTGGTGTGTTTGTGTATATATGTGTGTGTGTGTGTGTGTGTGTATGAGGCAGGGCGAGCCAGGAGAAGGGAGGGGTGAGGGCGGGGGGCCGCCCTTGTTTGTAGCCCAGAGCGGCGGGGAAAGGAAAGGAGGAGGAGGAGGAGGAGGAGGAAGGAAGGCGGGAGAAGGCAGTGAATGGTGTTTGGTTACAACCGGAGGGGACGGCGCGACAGGCGGAGCGGTAGCGACAGCCTCCTCTCTCCTCCTCCTCCTCCTCACCCCCTCCCTCCGCCACCAGCAACCGCCCGCCTGTAGCCGACAGCCCAGCCAGAAGAGGAAGCGGAGGGGCGGCGGCGGAGGGACGGAACAGCCGGACAACTTGGAGCCCTCGCTCTTCCTCCCTCCCTCTCTCTTTCCCCCCACCCCTCCGCGCGCTTTCCTCCCTTTTCCCTGCGCGCGCCCTTTAATCCTGCCCGGCTACGGTCGCTGCTTGTGGTGCTGCTGCTGCTGCTGCTGGCGGGGGACGGAACAGGCGAAGCGGCGGCTGCTTTTCCCTCTGCCGCTGCTCTCTTTTACTACCCCCTTCCCCCACTTTCTTTTTTTTTTCCCCGGGGAGGGCGGACGAAGAGGGAAGCCCTCCCCACCCCGCTGGACGGTCCTTTGGCATAGCCCCCCCCCTCCCCTCTTCCGACCTTTGGAAAACTTGGGCTGCCTGTGCTTGCACACACCTTCCTCTCCTGCACACCCACACCCTTGCACACCCGACCACCTGGTCCCCTCCTTTTCTTCCCCGACCCCAAATATGCCTTATGACTTACCCCCCGCTGCCCGCCAGGCTGGGACCCAGAGGCGCTGCACCTGCCAGGAGCATCTGAACAGGCCGTAGGAGAAGAAGAAGAAGAAGACGGCGGTCACCCCTCCTGCTCTTTTATTGCATGGTGGTGGTGGTGATGGTAGCAGCAGCAGCAGCGGCTGATCTTTAGAAAGGTGGACCTCCAACGGGCCTGCTTTCCACATGGATCCAGATAGAGCGTGCCCCTGGTCCCGAGGAGGAGGAGGAGGACCGACCTGCTGACCTCGTCACACACCTTTCAAATCTACCTCCGAAGCTGCCTGTGATTTGCCTGGGCCACGCCTCCTCCTCCTCATTCCTGGGGAGGGAGAGTGGGGAGAATGGTCTCCAGACAGGCTCGCTGAGAGACCACCACCCCCTGTCATCTTGCGCCTTGGCGATGTTCTCCACCGAAAGACCCCCGGCAACGTTGCCCCCTTTGCCATCCAGGGGGTTAGGCATGTTCGGTTAGTGCCTTGTGGGGTGTATATATATATATGTCTGCATGGAGAGAGAGCGGGAGGCGAGAGGGGCAGGGCGATCCCTGGGTTGAGCTGCATCCCATTGAAACGATGAATGGTGTGATGTGAAGGTGGTAAGAGCCCCCTCTCCCCAAAAGGGGTGGCCTTTAACCTTGGTTGTATCAAGTCCTGGCTTGTCTGCTATTTAATCTTGTGTTGATTGGGGTTTGAGTCCCGTGCAGTAGAAGAAATGGGAATTAGCCTCAAAATATCCTAGTCTTAATAAACCTACACCCGGGTTCCCGTTTTTCCTAATTCATCCGTTCGGTACAAAGACTCGAGCTTTGGATGTAACGTTTTGGCTTATTTTTGCTGTCCCGTGATGGACATTGGGATCTTGTTACCCAGAAATTTCCCAGATGAACTAACTAACTTACTTTTTTTTTTTTTTGGAGTGGGAGATGTGATTGATTTAACAGAAGTTCTTCAATTCCAGTGGTCCGGGATGTTGTTAAAGCGCGCAGTGGGTGAACTCAAGTGACAGTTCTGTTTGTGCACATGGCCATTCATAGTCCGTCCTCGTGGATGGGATGAGAAGTGGCAGGACAAGGCCAGCGCAAAAGCGCACAGTACTTTTGATTTTGTACAGTTTGTTTACATGCCGTGTTAGATGCTGTTTTTCCCCCTCTTTATAGAAATCAAACGTGTCCGTAAGATAGAGTTAACGGTTATATAAATTGTGACATAAGTGGGATTTGAATCCACGTTTTTTAGACCCTTCCTTTGTGTGTGAACACAGCGTTTGTAAACTCGGGCAGTTGTTTCTGGTGACTAGATGTAGAAGGGACTCTTAAATCTTGTATTCAACTTGTATAGCTTCAAGTGTGTGCAGTATTGTTATTTTTTGCCACATGTTTTTGGTAGTTTGATGCTGCTTCAATCTCAGAAGCTGAATCTTAATTCTTTGCTTGGGGTGGGTGGGAGTAGTGCTAGGACGGCTGATGGCCTCTGGTTGTTGTATTTAAGATCTTGTTGTGTGTGTGTGGGGGTGTTTCTTAATGTTTCTGGCCCTTGTTTCTACTCCCCTCCTTCCTTCCCCCTTTAATCCTTCCTCCTCCTGCACAGGGATGTGGTCACCAGCCGAGGACAGGAAGCGACTGAGCCAGCGCTTCCCGGCAGAGTCCCCGACCACGATGCACTCAGTGCTTTTAATAATTGAGTTAACTTTACTCGCAAGTGCAGGGAGGGGAGGGGGGGGGAGCAGTGCAGCCGATCCATTAGGGACTACAAGGGAGGGAAGAGGAAGGTTGGGGAAAGAGGTATTTCGTAGGTAATGTGTGCCCTGTTGGAGCAGATCTTCTGCTTCTCTCTGGGAGCAAAGTCAAGCCCCTTCTTCTCCCCCCCCCCACATTTAATCACCAAAGCAAAGTTTTAGTCTTCTGAAAGTACTTCAAAGGGGTTTTAACCCTTCCCCCCTCCCCAGGAATCAAATTACAGATGCGATCTGTAGCAAAGGTGATCTGAGCCCCTTCAGCCGTCAAGCTGCTTACTAGTATATCTCTCAGGCAAATTAAGAAATCATCTGCCCCATTATCTCTCTTCGTGATCTTCTGAATGGGGATGCCAAGACTGAACCTCTGCCGCCTTTGCGCACGCAAAGCGGTTTGGGTTCGGTCCCTAACCTTCCTATTGACTGAAATGCTAAGGGCAGGGGTGTCCTTGTGCTGGGGAGGCCTTTAACCCTTCCAACGCTCCCTTTTACGACACTATTCTCTCTCTCTCTCTCTCTCTTTTGTTGTTGTGCATTCAGTCATTGGTGCAGTCTCTGGGAATGGGACACCCTTCACTCCCTAGACTAGAGTGTAGCCGAAACGTGGTTGTTTCAGGGTTGCCGAATCTTCCTTTATCCAACTCTGGGTGTTCCTGGCAAGTCCTGTGTTAATCCTGCGTTGGGATGATTGAGACCAGTTTGTGGCTCCTGCCCATCACACTGAATGCTCTTATAGCTTTGGATGATTGGAATCAATAGGACTGATCTGCAAAGGCTGCAGTGCAATCAGGGTTGGGTTAAGGGTTGTTGTTTTGTAAACATTGCGGTCACGGTCTGTTGCCCCCCCCCCCCCCCGATGCAAAACTCTGGTCCGTTCCCACCTGTTGCTGTGTTAAGCTGTAGTTTCACAGTTAAGAGCACAGGTAGTCCTCGGTGTACGATCACAATGGAGCCCAGAGTTTGAAGTGTTACGTGAGACATCCGTTAAAGTGAGTTTTTGCCCCATTTTGTGTGACCTCTCTAGCCACCGTTCTTAAGTGAATCACTGCCGTTGTTAACTTGCTAACACGGTTGTTGAATGAATCTGGCTTCCCCATTGACTGCTGGTCAGAAGGTTGCAAAAGGGGATCCCATCATCCCCGGGACACAGCAACGGTCATAAAATATGAACCGGTGGCCAAGTATCGTGAGTTTCGATCCCGTGACCGCGGGGTTTGCTGCAAAGGCCGTAACTCTGGGGGAAAAAAAAGGTCACAGGGGCCGTTGTAACTGTGAACGGTCACTTAAAACGAACCGTAGTAAGTCTGTATTGACAAGGGAATGCTGCTTATTGGCAATGGGAGGCTGTTGTGAAATGTGGTTTTGAGGGTGTTGTAACCTCTGTGTGTGTGTGTTTTTGTGTATGTGTATTCAGGCCCGTCTTATTTGTCCCTTTGCCTTGGCCTTTTCCTGGACACCCCAAGAAGGAAGTGTTGCTCGGCTTGATTATGGGGGCAGCAGGAACCGCTGGGAGGGCAGGAGAATTGGCAAGGTTCTTCATTTCGGCTCTAAATTGCCTGCAAGTCGGATCTGACCACCCCTGTCTTGTCTGCACAAAAGAGCCCCACTCCCCCAAGCCCCCCTGTATAGAGTCCGGTCGTGTTTGGCGATCTGTGCCCAGCACCGCGTGATCTCCTGAGGATGCTCCCAAGCTTTCCAGTTGGGTGGAAGCCAAATGGCTTGGCTGCCCCAAGTGAGCGTGGGAGTCTGAGCAAGCAGGGCCCCTCAGCCTCTCCCTCCCCTTCCCCTCCTGCAGCTGTAAAATTCCTTTGCCTGGCTTCCAGCTGGGAAGGGCGGAGGACGGCCATGGTTGCTTCCTGGCAGGCGGAGAAGAAAATCTCCCCCTGGCCCCCTTCCTGGGAGGGGACGGATGGGGGGGACACGGACTCAAGTGACTAGTGATAAGGCATGGCACAAACTGCGACGACCAGGACCGAAAATCGTAGAGGAAAAACAAAGGCATCCCTGCCCAGGGAAAGGAGGGGAAGCTTTAAAGGGAAGGGAAAGCAGCGTAGTCCAAGTTCCCTAGTAACCCAACTCCCGTCAGTTCTGGCCTCCTGTTCGTGCCATGCCATCGAACCTCGCTCTGTTTCTATTCTCTCTTTTCTTCGAATTACGGGCCTGATGAAATAACTTTGTGTGTGCGTGTGTGTTTTTTCTCCCCACTTCCCTCCAGTGTGGACAAATGTGGAGCCTCGATCTGTGGCAGTGTTCCCATGGCACTCACTAGTGCCCTTCCTGGCTCCCAGCCAGCCAGATTCCTCCGTACAGCCCAGTGAAGGCCAGCAGCCTGTCAGTCACCCGTCCACGTCCAATCAGAACAAAGGTAAGGTGGGCCAAGGGGGAAAAAAAAACAAAGAGAGCGTTTGCACAGATTTCCCCCTAAAGTCTTTGAGTAGGAGGACCGTCAGACTCTCTAGGAGTGAAGGGACGCCTTTGCTTGCACAAGCAAGCAAGGGAAACTTTGTGATAACCCTAACTCTGTGGAAGCAGCTCCTTGATCCCAACCTTGGCGTTGATGTTTCCAGAACCTCCTGAATCGGCTGCGGTGGCCCACGAACTCCCCGGGTTGTCTTCGGAGGCCGATAGTGCAGGGAGGCCGACCCCCTCGCACCCCGACAGCCCCACTCCAGTTGCCCAACCTTCTACGGTGATTCCAGGGGGAAGTGGGGGTCCGCCTCAGCATGATGATGACCTCCCAGGGCACCCACGCCTGGACAGCGAGACAGAGAGCGACCACGACGACGCGTGAGTGTCCCTCTTTTGGGTTGTTAACATCTCTCATTAGGCCGCTCGGACGCCAATCCTTCGTAGCGGCACTTTTGTCCTGTTCGATTTGGCAGCCTTTTCGCACGGTTCGTGTTTTTCACGGTGATCCTTTCCCGCTGGATTCCGGGAGGGTTGCCGGTTGTGATTTGAAGTGTAGTGGGAATTGGACGTGCCGCTAGAGGCAACTCCTTGAGGGAATGAAATTGAGCCATGCCTAGGAGAGAACGCCTTGGGAAGGAAGCCACAGGGGAAATAGAAGCAGGAGTGGATGGAGGGTGTGGTCAAAAAAAGCCCAGATGCCGGTTGCGACAGAAATTGACCCCTTCCCTGCCTCCTTCTTCGTAATGTGGGAAGGAAGGATCAGAGAAGGAAGGAAGGAAGGATCAGGGAAGGAAGGATGGATCAGAGAAAGAAGGAAGGATCAGAGAGAAGGAAGGGAGGATCAGGGAAGGAAGGATGGATTAGAGAAAAGGAAGGATCAGAGAGAAGGAAGGAAGGAAGGATGGATCAGAGAAAGAAGGAAGGATCAGAGAGAAGGAAGGGAGGATCAGGGAAGGAAGGATGGATCAGAGAAAGGAAGGATCAGAGAGAAGGAAGAAAGGGAGGATCAGGGAAGGAAGGATGGATCAGAGAAAGAAGGGAGATGGAAGGATCAGAGAGAAGGAAGGGAGGATCAGGGAAGGAAGGATGGATCAGAGAAAGAAGGAAGGATCAGAGAGAAGGAAGGAAGGAAGGATGGATCAGAGAAAGAAGGAAGGATCAGTGAGAAGGAAGGAAGGATTAGGGAAGGAAGGATGGATCAGAGAAAGGAAGGATCAGAGAGAAGGAAGGAAGGGAGGATCAGGGAAGGAAGGATGGATCAGAGAAAGAAGGGAGATGGAAGGATCAGAGAGAAGGAAGGGAGGATCAGGGAAGGAAGGATGGATCAGAGAAAGAGGGAAGGATCAGAGAGAAGGAAGGAAGG